CTCCCCCAAATGGCATGTGCGGACTCTGAGGTCTGTCCTGGTGTCTTGCAGATCTGGCTTCGGCTAACCAAACGCTTCGGTCGGGGACCCCGAGGTTTCCCCTCTTCCTCGGTCAGGGCAATCGGGAAGTAACATGCTCACGCAACCTGTGAACACATTCTACATTGTTTTTTGTTCATATGTTGTGGCACATTTGCCGGTTCTCTGTAATTGGTTACGTAATGTTGTGATGCGAAATGAAAGTACACTTGAATGATTAGTAGTAGATATCTTCTTAGGTCGACCAAACCACCAGATGCTAATACGATTGGCTCCTTGGAAAGGATAAGCCGGTTCAATGAAAATCTCTGATGGCCGCTACACATGCTTAGCGGTTTGCTGCAAGATCCTTGCAAATGTTGATCCAGTTTGTTTTCCATCGGCGAGTGCCGTACACCATCCGAAGACCAAGTTGGTCAAATACAGATAGTGTCCAGTCAGGATTTACTTGCCCTTCTTTGTCGGTAGTGCCAGTCAGGGCAAGGTGGCGGTGCTACGACAAAACTTGTAAATATGTCATCGGGTCTGCGGAGAACATGGCCCAGCCATTGCATTCGGCGGTGTTGTATGTGCGTTCAGAGACGGGCAACGCGGTATCGATTTCTGAAGTCCGAGTTTGAGACCCTGTTCTGCCAGTTTACTTTCACGATGAATCGAAGACACCAGTGATCGAAGACCTCTAATCGCCGGATGCCCTCAGCTCTCAGCGGCCAGATTTCGCAGTCTGGACTAGTCGAACTGCTGCGGCAAAAAAACTAAATTTACATCCTCTGCTGCTGCTCCGATTAGTACATGCTTGTAGTAAAATGAGTTGACGGGATGCCTCAGGAGGCCGAAGCAGTGCCCTCGACGTGATTGCGACCACCGACTGTATCGAACATGGACTAGTGCACACCATTGATCTATCGATCGATTAAAAAGAATGTTACATTGGTCTACACACCGATCTTTGATGCTCAATGTCGATAAATGTATGGGTGTTCCTTTTAGCCTGAAATCAAACACTCGTTACCAAACTGTTTTTAGTAACCAGTCTGAACTTGCTATTAAAGGTATTATCATCTCTGAAGCGACGGACTCTGTCACATATCTTGGAGTTACTTTGTCACATAACCTTTCTTTATTCTACCATATTGAAAATATTTACAATCTAGATCGTAGATTATTCTCCTACACTTTCAGACCTCAAAATGTCGGCATCCCCAAAAATATCATCCGTAAATTTGTGACCGCCGGACTTTTTCCACACTGGTTGTACTGTTCCCCAATATTTCTTCTTGGTTCAAATGAGAAACAATTTATTCTATTTTCCCGATCTTCCAAAATTCCTCCCCGTTGCAACGGCATTCCCGAGACCGTTTTGGTTTGGTTACATTCTGTGCGTGTACTTTGATTCATGTGATCGATTTATCTATCAACCATATGGTGCTGTCATATGAAGAACACTGTCTACACGCTCATCTCAATACATGTGTGTCTCATCCGAGTACGCGGGTTTTTTTCCAAATTTAGGATTGGTTGTGCCCGTGCCATGCATCCATATTGGTTGGATAGGTGAGTATATGCAACTAGAAGGCTATCACAAATCAAACACTAGTATTCGTACTGAATGGTATACATTGAAAAAAAGATAAAAACTCGGATGCTCCTTGCACACCGAAGTAATGTATTTTCAATCCTGGTGGTTGTACATTATCACTAAGACGAATTTTACTCATTCCGTATCCTTCAGGTACCTGGCTTGAAACAATCCGTACAGCACAACAAAACTTACTTGTCCAGATTGATTTTTGTCATTTGATTGTCCACGTTCGGGCCCGTGGACACATCGCGATCGGCGGAGATGATTTCCGGCAGATTTTCCTCCGTGTCGTCCGATTTGCGACAAC